GTTTTGATATCAATTTCGGTTTTATTTCTGCAACCAGTCCAGCCAACAAAGTATGCTGATTTAATTTTAGAGTTTACTGAAACTTTTTAGGATGGTCGACTCCGTTTGCGGAGTAATACGGGACTGGAATGTAAGCTGTCTTTTAAGAACAATGATAGTGGGCCAACGAGACAGAGTACCTTCTTCAAGGGGCACATATTCAAGCTGTAAGTTCCTCAGCTACTGTACTCCTTATCAAGCATGAAAACGAGAATCCATCTCTTCAGAGTCTTTGAGCAGCTTCTTTTTTATCTTCGTGCTCTAACTTGATATCGATGCTGCTTGCAAAATTATTCTAAATTAGTTACGGTGCGTCAGAAAATCGCAAAGGTGTGAGATGACTCAATATTCATAGAAATTTCAATTAATTTTAGTTAAGGTTGGCTTTTTTTGCATTTTCTAGCTGTTAGAGCTAAAGTACATTGCATAAAGGCAGGTTTTAAGTCTGGACAGCTTCACATGTCTAAATATACATGCCTATTAATAGTTGTGTCATGTGGGGTCAGTTCGGCTGTCTTTTTCTCTTAAGCTGGCGGACAGTTGGCGCTTCTCCAGGCAGTGTTAGGCAATGCTTCAGCCGCTCTGATCTCTTTGATGTGTGTGTGTGTTGAACACAGTTTCATGTTTTGGATTAATTTTTTGCTTAAACAATTTGCAGCGAGCAAATTCTTAAAGCGGCTTACGGTAATTGGACATCATTTTTTGCGACATGTGATGTTAATAATTTTAATACAAATTACGATGATTGGTTAGAAATTGCCAAGCAGGCCTTTAACACTCATCTATCACAGGTACTACTTGCTGTTCCAGTGCTCAATTCTTTGCAAATAAGACGACAAATTCGTTTTTGTCGAGTTTTGGGGCGTACTTTTGGTGAAATATTCAGTATGGGAACATCTTCTCGCCCTAATCAGGGGTTGTTTGTCCCGAGGCATACGAATTTTACCAAAATTGTGCAAAATTGATTTAAAAAGACGAAAAATTGAGTCT